GAATATTTTAAAATAGGATTAGACACTGGTTTTCATACAAAGAAATAACAAAATAGGTTAGAAAAACCAGGAATCTGTTCTCGACCTGGGGAGGTACTCTGGTGATTACACTTTATTTATTGGTTGTATGAAATAAATTTTTTAAATGAGCTATTTAAAAAATTAAGCAATGGTAAAAGTTCTTATATTTTTGAGGAGACAAACCAGAATAGAGTATTATTATGTAAATAAATAATACTAGGTGCTTTTGTTTTGTTGTTTGTAGTAGAAAATATTTGACTTACATGCAGTTTAAATTAGTTTAAAAATGGTAGTAGATTGATTGATTACTTCAGGTCTATTGTCATATTAGAGCAGGGATTAACATTTCTGAATTCTTTACCATGAAATGAGCATAGAAAAAAGTACTAAATGCATTTTTATGGAACATGTTTCACAATATAAAGATTTTGCAAAGTGTTATGCATTCAGATGAGGCTGTTTAGGATTTGCAAATTAAATTGTAATTTAAACAGATTTTTAAGTATGAAGTTGAACAGTTTTTGTAATCTGTATATCAACTGATTTTGTCAGTTATTGATGTTTTGAGTGCTTTCAATTTTTTAAAGATTTATCATTTTTGAGAGAGAGAGTGAGCACAGGGTGGGGGGACAGAGGGAGAGGAGAGGGAGAATCTCAAGCAGACTCCCCACTGAGCATGGAGCCCAAGGCAGGGCTCAGTCCCATGACCATGAGATCATGACCTGAGCTGAAATCAAGAGTCGGACGCTTAACCAACTGAGCCAGCTAGGTGCCCTATCCATTTTTATCATAAAACAGGGACAGTAATTTTTTAGGGTACATTTGGAAATATTTTTGACTAAAAATATCATGACTAAAAAGCTATAATGATAGATGATTCTGGTAATATTGCATATCCTTCATAATGTAGTGTTTATCATCTCTCATGTACAAAAGTCTCAGTTTTATTAATGGTTATTTTCATAGTAAATCCATTTTACAGAATTCAAGATCCAAATTAGGAGCTGCAGGGGATCAGGTTTACCATAGTAATGCTCAATCAGTTTAAAATATGTACCATGATCGTTCTGCATTTAATGATCTTACTGGTTTATTCTTTTCATTCCAAAATTGAATATAGCATTCATTTATCAATACCATTGACTGATCTCCTTGGGCTCCATCTTAACAATTGCTTGCTTTGTTTTTGTTCCTTTCTTTTTACTCTAACTTCTCCCTCAGGCCAGTCACCTTCCCCTTATTTTCTCCACTCTTTAATATTCTCACTGGCCCCTGTATGATTCCACTATCTTCCCTGCTGTTCTGTATCTTCCCTACTTCCATATTGTACTGTATTATGTTATGGCATTCTTCTCTTTTGCCATTTCTACTTACGAGCATCCATCCTCCTTGCCTAACTCTATGTGGTACTCAGGGAGTCTTCTCTTTAAACGCCAGGTCAACTAACTTCTTTCATTAAAGCTCTGTTTGACATCTCTTGTCTACTTAAAACTGTATGGAGGAATATACACCTACATACATAAAAATACTTTGTTATTCTAATTGCTTCAGATTTTTTGGTTAACTGTGGGATTTCTCCCTAATTATTCTTACCTGGAAACTTCTGGTGTTTTAATGTGGTTCTGATTTGAGGGAGTGATGGTACCTGGCTGTCACCTTCCTAGCCTTGAATTTTTCCTCTCTATATGTGAAAGAGATCTTTATTTCCAGATTGTCTTGGTTTTTGCTACTGGAAGTGTGGTCTGTGGACCAGTAGCATCACATCACCTTTGTGTTAGAAATGCAGAATCTCAGGCCCCACTCTAGACCGTATGCTTCTTAATCTGTATTGTAACATGATCTCTAGTCAGTTGATATGAATATTGAAGTTTGCAAAGCACTGTTCTAGGTACCACCAAGCTAGTTGGGTGATACCTAGAACATTACCATGCTGACAGAGAACTGTGTACTTTTCTAAAACTGATCTTAAACATGTGACCTATAGTGATCTTATTTAAATATTTATAAATTAGTTTGTAACTTTTCATCATGGTTCACAAAAAGTTCTATTCTGATGAATATCACTACTACCATGCAGAAGCAATGACAAGAATAATCTCGAAACAGTAGCCAGTTCATCTTTCAAGTGAGTTTTTGGTGTATTTTAAAGATTTTTATTTTATTTTATTTATTTATTTGAGAGAGAGAGAATGAGAGAGAACACATGAGAGGGGGTAGGGTCAGAGGGCAAAGCAGACTCCCTGCCGAGCAGGGAGCCCGATGCAGGACTCGATCCCGGGACTCCAGGATCATGACCTGAGCCGAAGGCAGTCGCTTAACCAACTGAGCCACCCAGGCGCCCAAGTTTTTGGTGTATTTTAGATCCAAAACTATGATAGTCATTTATAAGCCCATTTTCTTTGTTCTGTCCTCTAGCATCAGTTTGCATCTGTGGATGAAGAACTGTCTCTTTTTTGCCTCTTGGGCTGTGACTCTTCAAGAAAATTGTATGCATTAAGATGAACTTTGAGGGGCACTTGGGTGGCTCAATCAGTTAAGCATCTGCCTTCAGCTCAGGTCATAATCCCAGGGTCCTGGGATTGAGCCCCAAGTCTTGCTCCCTGCTCAGCAGGGAGTCTGCTTCTCCCTCTGCCCCTTCCCCGATTCATTCTCTCTCTCTCTCAAATAAATAAATAAAATCTTTTTAAAAAAAATGATCCTTTGAGGTGTAGGGAAAAATCAAATTTCTATTAAATTTTTAGTCTTACATGAGCAAAAATTAAGCCTTACTGAAATTTTATATGTTGGTTAATTGTGTGTATATATATACATACATAAACAATTTATGACTAAATAGATAGATATTAATGGCCCACATTCAAATCTTCCTTGTACGTGATGAAAAAAGTTTATAGACTACTCTGTAGTGCAGTATGACAATCCCAGACTTTCTGAGTAGACTGGGAAATAATCTTACAGTAAATTCTGTACTATGTCCTGCAGTATGTGGATGTGCGTAGATAAGGGACAGTACTTATTATTTTTGTATGGTTGATAGTAAAATAATTTCTGTGTTCTCTGAGCGCATATTAATGGGGGCTTAGAGATGAATATGCTCTGTGTTAAGCTGTATTACATGTAATCTATGAAGTTCATATACTGTGTGTATATAATCATTTGGTGATACCCTAAAATTTAGATCTATTTGTATACTTCTGCTTTAGGAGATAGTTTTAAAAAACTTGAATGTTTTTATTTTTATGATCAGGAAAGAAAAAATTCTTTTTTGGTACTTCAAGAATGAAGAGTTCTTTTATTATTCTTTTGCATTTAAATGAAGTGTGAACAATGTGGCTCACCTACAAACACATTTCTGTTGGCGTTTTTCTGGAGTAATATCATCGTGTAATGATGTTAAACAGTATTTCAGTGAGTGTTTTGTAGGTTTCAATGCCTTGTTTGGACTTATATACCTAAAAGTGGCAGTGGGAAGAAGTGGCAGAAAAATACCCAGATGTCTGTGAGATAGTGATATGTCACTTAGCACCTCAAGAGTGTTAAGTTTTAAATAACAAAAGTAAACTCCAAGAAGTGACCTTGGCTAGGAGCAATTCTGTTTTGTACACAGCTTCTGCTACATGTGGCTGTGACCAACGAGACTTTGGTTGTGGTTACCAGAGGACACCCTTGTGGTCATAACCAAGTTGTAAATGTCACCAAGATTCTTCTTGAATGCCTATCACATGTGTATCAGTAATTCTAAAGTAGATAAAAATGAAACAAAGATTCATTTGGGAGTTAGCACTCCCAGAAGATTAGTTTTAAAACAGAACAGCAGAAGGAGTTGTGACATGCATCCATAAGCAATTGTAATGATTTGACAGTTATTTAGCCCCGCAGTTCCTAGCCCTGTGGTTGAACTGACAGCATGCCTGCAAAGATAGTGAGGCCTGTTTCAGCCCCATTAACGTCTTCTTGAATGTTAGCCTGCGGTCTGGGTAATAATAAATCTTCAGTGATTGATGATTTTATAGTCCCAGGGGATTCTAGGTGATTTCTGGTTTCTGTGAGCCAGGGCAATTTGCTTCCCTGTTTGGGCCTCTAGGAAGTTTTTTTCATCTTTACTAAAATCATTTTAAGTTAGCAGAAGTGTAGGTATCACCTGAGGTTTAATTAACCAGGATTCAAAGCCTTGTTTAAAAACAATATGATTCTGGACTAAGTATGTGTTAAGAGTCTGAGAACTATAATAGTTTTTAATCCACAGAGCTTTTTGTAACATTTATTTGTAAACTTTAGTATCTTTTTTCTCCTTTGTTTTAAAAAAAATATATGTTTTAAGTTGTAAAGAGAAATTTAATAGCAACTATTGTGAAATAATAACATTAGCTTTATTGTGTTCTTGGTGTGTGCAATTTCATTTTAAGACTCAAGAATTTAAATCAGGGATTTTTAATAAATGTTTTCCTTTTTACATGGTTCAGTTTCTCTAGGAGTCTGTCTTGTTATACTAGTATTAAAGAGAGTATAAACAGATCTTTTTTGTTAAATATATGTTTGCCATTTAGGAAAAGATTCGTTTCTAGTATATTGATTGTGGATTATTTTTAGTATTTTAAATTGTAATTACCTAACTCTTAATGAGTAGGGCTTGGAGACAGAGGAAGGAGGGTAGAGATAAACATTTTCCTTATTTATTACAACTTAAAAGTATATTTTCTTAGTTTATCCTTTTTAAAATAATCTGTAAAACTTTGTTTTGGGGTGTAACAAGTTCATAGGGCTAATTTTCTTTAAGATCATTAAGAAACTACTTTAAAACCTTAAAAGGAATAAAAGGAGCTCTTTTTAGTTTTTCAAGTAATGAACAAGGAACTTGGTTAGGAATGACCATTTGTAAGTCTGTATATTAATTAGATGAGTGTCATTATGCTCAATTAGCAGGACTGCCAAATAATCTCTTTAATACTCTGGTCTTTTTTTTTTTTTCTTCCCTCTAGGGTTTTACAGACAGCCCTCATTACAGTGATCACTTGAATGACAGTCGATTAGGGGCCCACGAAGGCTTGTCCCCAACACCTTTCATGAACTCAAATCTGATGGGTAAGTTGGTAATTCTCTGCAAGTAGTCTTTACAAAGCCTCTTTGGTCAGAGACATTTTTTAGCCCTTTGTCCAAGAAATACACTTAATATCTAGAAGAAAGTTCCTGTGTTTCTAGGGGCATCCAGGCTTTCCTTGTTCAGCTCAGTTTGAGGAGCAAGCATTCAGAAATATCACTGGTATCAAAAAAAGGAAGCAGCAATGTTTTTAAATTTGGCAGTGTCTTTGTGACATCAGGCATTTTATGTTTTCTGCTTTCTGGGCAAAGAAACATTTTGAGACATTTGTAATTTACTATTTTTAATCGAATATATATGCGGCAATTAAAAATATGACAAAGCAGTGATATTAAGCAGATTTTTACTTACATTGGACAATATTTCTTTTGGCACTATTTGATTAAAACGTAATAGTACATTTAGATGTTGGCAGCGTTTGTTTTAAGCACTTGGGTTCCTATTGGGGATTTTGAAGTTGTGTTCTGCATTAATAAAGTTGTACTTTGAAGGATATTACCTACCACCTAAATCTGATTATTGTATTTTGGCAAAACCTTTAGGTTAGCTTTTCTTTTTATTTCCCCCTTCTCCCTGCAAAACACTTACCATTCCTCCCCTCTTTCTTTCTCATGTGAAAGTTTATAGCTGTTCAATCTGAAGTGATAAACCCAAGCTTTTTTTCCCCCTAGTTTGGATGCTGTTCTTTTTTTTTTTTAATCAGTAATTTTACCTTTTTGCAGCACCTGATTAAAAAGAACCTATGTTTTATAACATTATTTTTCCTTCTTGCTTGTGCTGGGCCTGAGCACATTAGAAAGCTTTGTTTAATCTGTTTTACTTGTTGTCAGTGGCGTCATGTAAATATGGAAGTTTGTGTAATTGACATTGATTTCATTACTTACTCTGTTTCTTAAGGACGTGACCTATATTGTGATCTTGGAATTGTCCTTTTAAGACACAGCCATGCTAATCTAAGTGGATTACCCAAATCCAAAATCCTGGTGGTCTGCAATTTCTTTATAAATGGTTTTGCTTTGCACAGTCTTTGTTTAATTCCCTTATCCTCTGTAAAGTGTTGAGGAGACTGTCTGATATTCTAGTGTGGATTTTGCCTAAAGCAGTTACCACTTTAAAGCCAGAATCATTGAGTATGACATAAGAGTAAAAAATCTAATGAGCAATAAAACTTGTGTTTAAAATGACAATTTGTTTTAACATAAATGCAAATGAAAATCATATCATTCCAGGTAAAAATCAGAATTAAATTGAGAACAAAATAATTATCCTTGCACTTAGGCAGGGAAAACTTTCTAATTTATCTTTTTAATTTTCTGTTGAACTTACTATCAAAGTAAAATAGATGTGACACTCCACATTTCTTTCTATAGTATATCTTTTCCCCAAGTAGCATTTAATTTATTGTAAATAGGGTAGAGGAAGCTCTAGTCAGTGTTTTTGTAATTTCAGATTGAACTAAGCTTTCTTAATTGAGGCTATACTTCTTAGATGCAAAAATCAGAAATTGCCCTTTTTTTATATTTATGTGTTTACATTTATTGTTAGCTCACAGATAACGATTCTTAAGCCCAGTAGAATTGCATCATTAGCATAGCTTTGAGCCAAGGTGACTGTTAAAATTGTGGGGATAAGTGTGGGAATTAAATGAATTCTAAGAGGGTGCCTGGGTGGCTCAGTCGTTAAGTGTCTGCCTTTGGCTCAGGTCTTGATCCCCAGGGTCCTGGGATCGAGCCCCGCATTGGGCTCCCTGCTTGGCAGGAAGCCTGCTTCTCTCTCTCCCACTCTCCCTGCTTGCGTTCCCTCTCTTGCTGTCTCTCTGTCAAATAAATAAATAATAAATAAAAAATCTTTAAATGAATTCTAAGAAGTATGCATGTCAGTCACTTGCGCTGAGCATCTGTTGACTAAAAATATTTCTGTTATTCAGTTTGAGGTAACATTTTCTTAGTTGGAGCAATTATGAGCATGTGCTTGTTGGTTTCTTCAGTTTACAGATAATTATTAGAATACTTTTAATAGTCATACATAACCCTGTTTATTAAATCAGCATCTAAAATAAGTCTTGAAATATTATAAAAACTCAAATTTATAAATAGATCTCTTCACAATATAAGTGAAAAAAATTCTGTATTCATCTGAACTACACTGTACAGTTAATCAGGTGCAACTATACATTTTCATTGTAAGTCTTAACTATCAAATCTTAAAAATGTTAAATTTTTTTATAAGGAAGGGGAAAAGAAACCTGAAAAGATTAGGCAGATATGTTCAAAAGGATTTCACTGGTCATTGGCAATACCTAATTTACTATATTTTTTCCTTTATTTTCAATAAAAATGATCAAATGAGGTACCTAATGGTTTCATGTAAGCAATCTACATGACAATAGCTTGCTTTTGGAAATGAATATCTCCTAAATTGTAGAGTAGTTCCGTACAGTAACAGGCAATCCCACTTGATGTGAGCTGAAGGAAATGAACTGTTAGATATCCAAATATGTGGGTTTATAGCACTTGGTAGAGTTACAGTGGATAGATTACTTTTCTAGCCATTTGATTATTTAAGCAAATTTCAGGCTAAAAACCTATGTTGTTAAAGCATGACTGAGATGTACATAGCAGTATTAGAAGCATTTGGAACTGTGTACATACCTAATCATCCGAACAGGTAACACTTCAGAGTGATGCCATGAATGATGAATGCTCAGAAACAGTTAAAGCTAGTAAGAAAGCAGTAACATATTTCATCATTGCTGTCAACATATAAAAATACCATTGCGGGGGGTAAAATCATATGCTAGGGGATGTTGTTATTTTTCATATTACGTTCAACCATAAGCACATTTGCCTGAAGAAATAGTGGATTATAAAGTGCTCTGTCTTTCATGATGGAGCTCTCAAACACTTTAATGATTTTGCACATTGCAAAAATGAGAAATTTTGTCTAACAAGGGTTGATAATGATGCAATAATGAACAATTTGCCACAGAAACGTGCATTTCTATATTCATTTAGATATTTTGAAGTGTTTTACACAGGAAGTTAAGCTGTTATTGTTGGATCACTTAGTGTTTCTTTTTAATGAATTCCAGAATTATCCCATTGATTTGTCAGTATGGAAAAAAGGTCTTTTCTTATGTTTCAAGTGAAATAAATACATCCTTTTGGCACATCACTAAGTAATTAGCATCAAACAGTTCTATATTATAGGAAAGCTGCAAAGCTTTGACAATAGCAATGAATTGCAGTAGTATCACCAAATAGTCTTACCTATTTCTAGTCTCTTCCAGCTTTAGTCCATTTCTCTACCCTTGGTTCTCTCATTAATTTCAGTAAGATTTGCTTTCCTTTACCTGTTGATTAGATACGTTTTTGTTGAAGGTAGGACCAATTTATTTTATTTTATTATTTTTTTTAAGATTTATTTATTTATTTATTTGAGAGAGAGAGAATGAGAGA